TTTTGACAAGTAAAACGGGTACGCCATGTAAACGTGTAAAAACCTAGATGAACATTTTGAACGAAATCCTGAAGTTAACAGGTAGCAAGTAGAGAGAGTCCTGCGCAGGAGTGACATGATCACCCTTTTTGATCGTCTCAGGAAGAACTGGAAAATCTGTGGTTGTAAAAGGAAATAATAAAAGCATGTTAAAAGGAAAATCCACTGTACCAGATATTTTTAAGTTACAGATAAAGGGATGAAAATGCAGGTAAGATGTTAAAAATAATTAGAAAAAGCTAAAAGGAAAACTATCACAATCTTTTGAAGCAGCACAAAAGTAAAGAAACATGTCAGGTGATAGAGAGCAGTTCATACCTAAATCATCGCAAGCACACAGTATTTTTGTGTTCGAGTAAGACCTTACCAACGGATGCCCATTAGGGTCAAGAATCCCTTGGAGAGCAACTTCCAGCCAAATGACAAGGTCATCAAACTACTTTTCATCAGCCCTTCAATTGCAGTCCTGACCATGGGTACGAGTGGGTAGGGTTGAAGTTGATCACTCCCCTTTTGCACCATTGATCCGCACTTCAACCAAGTCTGAATCAATGTGAAGCGGGCAAAGGGTATTACCCACAATCCATTGCTGCAGTAGAAAAAGCTTAAGTGCCTTTTCTGAAAATATGTATTTTCAAATGATATAAGTTTATTTTAGGTCAGTTCATTGATGCTCTGAACGAAAGTAAGTGTATTTGAAATAACTGGTTGTTTGAAAATTGTTAATGGAGTTTTTTTAACAGTAGCACAGTGACCGGCATCCCGGCATGCGTCGTGGTCAATGACGCAATGGTCACTGTCCCAATTTGGCAATTATTTGCACACTTGTGTACTACACACTCATAGCCTTACTACACATTTCCTCCAAGTGCACTTTACAGAAGACCGTAGGGCGCACTGTAGGGCTGGGCGATATGGCCCGAAATCAATATCACGATATGGGGATTTCACCTCGATAACGATACATTTTCTATTTATTGCCCAGCCCTAGCGCAGTGTGCACTCTTTTCTTTCAATTTTCAAAAATTGTTTCACAACACCTTAATAATTTTATGGGAAAACACATATCAGTCACAATCAAAAGTTTAAAGGAGACATAACATGAAAAACCCACTTTTTTATCCATTAACACAGTGTGTTTCACATTTTAAGTGTCTAAGTGAGCAAAAAGGCTTATATTATTCACTGGAGTTGCTATTTAGATATTTAATAATTAAGTTTTGGGCATATTTGTCCACCCGTTCAGTTTTTCACATTATCTATTACATCAGTAATTTATTTCGTCAGGATAACTACCAAATATGGTAATGGCCCTCGGCTAAACACAGAGCCAATCCGCCATTTTTTCTTCTCGCTAAGATTTTTTGTAGTCCTATTGGAAAAATGCAGAATGTCTGGTTATTTTAGCCACACACAGCTCAAAACTGTTCCTCGTTTTAAGGAAGGGTGGTGTGGCAGTATTTAAACCCAGGAGCTGATGACACTACTGCTAAAAAAACACAGAAGAAAAAGTAGTGTGTGTTTGTGTGTGTGTGTGTGTGTGCGCGCGCGCGCGCAAGTGGTTCGTTCGTTCTGTCTCCAGGCTAGTAAGTACTGAGGGCTTCATCTATCTAAAAGGAGTCATTTCCATCTGAATTTGGCAGCAACGGGACACAGCAGCAGAGCGGTAAGCTTCATATAACTCTAAAATGTCGACAAACTTTACTTTAGATTTACGGGCATTAGCAGCACTAAAGCGTTAGCATCCGGCTTGCTATCGCTAGCACAGTATGCTAGTAAAGTTAGCACCCAGATTAATGTGGATTTGGCTGATTTTCGTGGAATAAAACGTGATTTCTGATCAACGCCTTCTTTTACACCAGATGATAACCTCCCACTGATTGTAGCAGCAGAGAGCCTGTGTGTTATTTTACGTGAGTGTGATGTAATCTTAGCATCCAGTAAATAAAGTCCCATATCAGCTAAAATGCAGCGTGACAAAGTCGTTAAAGTGCGTCAACACAGTGGATTTAATAGAGTTTTAAAGAACGATCTCTGAGTGAAGTGAGGTTAGTTTTTTTGTCTCACTGCAGATAAAAAAACTAACTCTGCATCAGTCAGACGCAGCAAAGCTCACCGTCTGTATGAGCGTGAGCGTCGGAAAGCTGATAAAATCAGCTGTAAAATAATTAAAACAAAAGTAGAAATGTTCCTTTGCTTTTTAGAGTCCACATCCAGAAGTCTGGAGCCGTGTTTCACTGACAGGCTGTCAGACTAAAACCCTGATGAGCTCAGCAGGGACAAACTGGTCTGATGTTTAGGTAAGTGAAGATCTGCTTCTCCAAGGCCTTGAGATGCTAGTAAAAAATAATTTAGCCAGCTTGCTAATGTTACTTTTCTTCTCCTCTAAGGAACACAGAACGTTCAGATGTTGGCGTTTCACTTCACCTACTGAGGAAGGAGACCCACCAGTAAAGAGATGGTAGCTGGACCAGACCAAAGTGAGTGATGACACACCTCAGCCACCCTCATTATTAAGAACACCTCACCCCCTGAATCACTCCGTCTGATGACAGCAGAGTGATTTATTTGATGTTTTACTTGTTTAGTCTGTTTAGAAATTATTGAATTACATTATTTTCTGTAATCGACCATCTGATCTGGATGTGTGCAGAATAACTTTCCCCAAGTTCAGCAGCAGCTGGCCTACAAAAACAGCTGCAGCATGTAGTAAGTCTGTCTGCACTGCTCTCTAATGAGCTTCCTTTCATAAGGAATCATTTGTATAATTTTAGTGTCACTATTTTATTACATTTGTAAGAATATGAAGTCACTGCAGCAAAGTGAACTTGTGAACAAACACAAACGTGACTATAAACATGAAAGCTAAAGAAACAACTTTCCTAAAGCTGCTTGTAAACAAAATATGTCATTAAAGTTATTGTCTATCATTACAGAATATGGCGATGACATCATGGAACTGGTCTTTGGAAAAGTTTTCCCTGAACCAACTCCGTTTCTAGATGAGGTAGAGAAGATCTGCATCTCACCAACCCTCTGGTCTCAGTATTCAGACAACGGAGGTCTCCCACTGTTATCCAGGACCAGTTTGAAGCCCACATACTGCCCCTCCCTCATCATCAGGAAACATCAATCCGTATCCTGAGGACAACAGAAGACGGCAGGAGGACAGGAACTCTGAGACCTAGACACCACCAGCACCGAGACACAAAGCACCTGTGTGCACAACGCCTGTTTAACTACTAAAGCCTGTTTATTATATTGTTCTACTTATTTGCTGTGAGGTTAATACTTAGAAAATGTGTATATTAATGTAAACAATTTTAAAAAATCACTGATTGTATGTTTTCTTTTAGATGTAATGGTCCAAACTCTGCCTTGTAGACATTTATTGCATCCTGTAGGTAAATACACAGAACAGGCTCAGATCCAGGATGACCCAGCATGCACTTCTTCCATTCTGGCTGTTAGGGATTGTATCAATAACTCAATGCCTACTGATGTTTTCACCTAACGGTATTTATTTAGAATGCAGGTAAGATTTAACTATATTTGTTAGCAAAGCAGACTGATCTTGGGAATTTCACTGCAGCACTGATGTCCACCTCTCTACACATTAGAGAGAATTACCACTTTACAGCTAAACACATTTAATAAAGATATAGGCTACGCATTGCAGACAATAAAAACAAAGCTGTAAGCATTAGAATTATAATGATCACATTAAAGAACATTTGGAGGAATGTTCTTTATTTTTGACTAGAATCTCAAATCTTTAAATTAAAATGTAACTGCTTCTTATCCATTTTCAGCCATTAAGACACCCAATATAAAATAAGACTACTTATAAAATTATTTATAATTATATGTATGTATATATATAGATAGAGATCTTAATAAAATATATTCTTTTAATGGTGTTTTAATGAGCTGTATCATTTTTTAAAACATTTTTTATAGAAATAAATAAGCAAGCAGCATTCCTTGTGTGTGTGTGTGCGCGCGCGTGCCTGCTCGCTTGTCCTTCCGTCGGCCGTGACGGGTGTGTGTGAGTGTCTACAGACAAATGCATGAGAGAGTTAGCAGCCATGAAACAGCTTGATGAACTACTCTCCCCACATGTTTTAAAAATGCTAATATGCTATGCTAAATCTGCTATGCTAAATAATGATTTCTCTATAGAACTACAAAGTCCGGCTGGGGGAGGAGAGTACAGGTCTACACTATGGAGGGGGGCGGAGTTTACAGCTCCTCCTCCAGTGTAAAGAGACAGTACCCAAAAACGGCTCGTTCTCAAGACTCTCCTCAGAACAGGGGTAGATGAGGGTCTGTAGAGCAACAATAATGAGGAAATCAGACCAAAGAACTGCAGTTCCACTGTATTTAGACCCCAACTGAAGGATTTAGATGTAAAAAGGAATAACTTAAAAGCATGTTATGTCTCCTTTAAGACCACTTGAAAAAACATGTTTTGCAGGGTTGGATCTTAAGGTTCCAAGATGAGCTTCAATAGGTAACGAGAAGAAATGAGAGGGAGACAAAAGATGTTCTGAGCAGTAGCTTATTGAAACCCATTCTTGAACTGAAACAGGCTGTTTTACAGCTGATCAAAAGTTTAAGACCACAACTCCAAAGGGAGAAAAAAACACTAACTCACATTTCTTATTGCATGATGAAGCTCTACTTGGAACCTTGTTGAGATCCAATCATGCACAACATGATCTCTGGCCATTTTTCCAGAATTTTCCCACTTTCAGGAATTCTGTTTACTTTTAATTCATAAACCCTGTGATATAATTGAAGTAGTACGTCAGTTGTCTTCTTTAATGCAAAGTTGCCATGACTGGCTCTATATATGCTGAATTGAAACTAATCAGTTGGCATAAAACAGAAATCATGCAAGAATGAACATTGTTCAACGCATGTCCGACAGATCTGTCCAAATGAGAACACCAAAGACGTATTTTCAGCTGTTTTATTAACTTAGTCCATACTACTGCAACATTCTGGTGTACAAAAGAAATATTCTCTTGATTATAAACAAAACGAGGTGTGACAAGTGTTGCAGACTTCTTGAAATGGTTTATGACTAAATTGGAGTATAGCTGTGGGTTAGTGTTAGTAGATATTTCAGACTAGATTTTCAGAGTAAAAGCAGACAAACAATAAATGCTTATCAACATGGATGGAAGCCAGTCTACTACTGGTCAGCGTTTTGCCTTTTTCTCGTATTTTTGGCTACTGAAACTTGATCCTAAACTCCACCATAAACCAGCTTCATTGCTCTGAATATAAGCGAAACGAGGCCTGCATAAAACCCATAAAGCAGGTAATACTGTGTTTTTCCCTTGTGTTTTGTGGTTACAGTAGAACAGTGATGTAATAAAATCAGTGGATTTACAGTTCGGAGAAACAAGTAGAGACAAGTACTAAAGAGCATAAAAATGTGCAGTTTCTCCATGTTTAGCAGGGTAGAGGGTCCACTCCCAGCCAGAGTTAAAAGCCCGATACAGACATGCTAAAACACTCCCAGAGACACATTTCTGGCTTTTAAAATAAAAAGCTCTTTAAAATAAAGTCACATCTGCTGTGGGGACAACAAGTCTTTACGATGGTTTTATGGCTGAGAAATCCTGTGACTGAAATGAGAAGGTGTGAGAAATATTTCTAGTTAAAGTTTAACGCACACCTAATGCATGACTGAGAAATGAAAAGAGGATGTTGATAATCCAAGAGGATCAATCACAGCCAATTAAAACACTAATAATCGACACAAGCGTGTTGGAGAGCTGAAGAGTGCTTTGGCACCATGAGTTGACTGGATCATAATGTGAATGCAGAAATTGTTTAAACAGCTAAAAAATACAAACGATGCAAGAATAACGAGTGGTTCACAGGCTACACAGAAGACCAGACAACGGCGGCACAGTTCAGTACAGCAGGCAGCCAGAGCTAAAACAGTCTAATAAAGAAGGGATGAGATTTACATCGATGCACATCCTCAAGAGGAGTTCAGAGCATTAGGACCTATTTCCAGGTAAAACAAGGCAGCAGTCATTAAAAGCTATAAAAATAGATTCATAACATTTTCTCATTGAAAGCAAAAATAATATCCTTAATAACTAGATTGTGGGCATCGCCTTTATGTCAAGACAGGTACAGAGTTCAGGTTAAAAAACAACAGAAAGTGCGTTACAATCTAATGTCTTGAGCGTCCTCCCTCAAAGGCATGATGTTCCATGTGAGCTGAAAGAAAATCAGAGCACGTTATTCTGATTTGAAATACTTGACTCAACAACAGAAAAACAAACAAATGTGATTCTCAACGATATTAATGGGCTAATTTGTGGATTGCAGCAGACACAGCTCATTCTTGGTTATTTAGTTTAACAATAGAATAAAACGTCCCTTGCATGTGGGAAAACAAGTATTCACAAATGAAATCTTTGTTTGGTGTGAATTAACTTTTAGTTTAGGTTAGGGCAAGGCATTGTGGAGTCACCAAAATGAATGTAAGTCAATACATACATATACTGACTATTATTCAACTTTTTTTAATTTCATTTAATGTATTTAGTTCAATCTGTTTTCTAATTCAAAAGGGTTTGGGTTCTAAAGCGTTAAAGATAGTTATATCTGTACCTGTTATAAATAGCTCTTTGAATGATTTTAGGTCACAAAAACAGAAGTTAGTAGATAAGTGTCCCATTGAGGCCAGCTATAACCTTTACACGCCATAAATTCAGACTGCATAGTTCTGGGGGTGTGCCCAAAGCAGCTGTGGCTAAAATACAGCTCATCACCAGCTGTGTGTGAACAGGTGAATGAATCAGAATCAGAATAGGTTTATTGCCATTGTCAGTGAACAAACAATTCTCAAACTAGGAACTTGCTTCGGTACTAATGTGCTACATATAACATGAATAATAAGATTAAAAATAGAATAAAATAGAATAAAACTAGCATAAAACTTTCAGCTATAAAAAAAAGGCAGGTAATGGTAACATGGCCGATAACGTGACGCTGTGTCGAGTACAGAAGACCAGCATGGTTGTGTGTTTATAAGCTGTTCACAAGTCTAACGGCAGATGGAAAGAAGCTGTTCTTATGGCGGGAGGTTCTGGTCCGGATGGACCGTAACCTCCTGCCTGAGGGAAGCGGCTCAAAAAAGTCTGTGACCCGGGTGAGAAGGGTCAGCTGCTATCCGACCTGCACGCCCCCGAGTTCTGGAGACGTACAGGTCCTGGAGAGATGGAAGGCTGCAGCCAATCACCTTCTCAGCAGAGCGCACAATGCGCTGCAGTCTATGTTTGTCCCTCACTGTGGCTCCAGCGTACCACACAGCGATGGAGGAGGTGAGGATGGACTCAATGATGGCCGTGTAAAACTGCACCATCATCTGGGCCGGCAGCTTGGCCTTTTTCAACTGCCGCAGAAAGTACATCCTCTGCTGGGCCTTTTTGAGCAGGGAGCTGATGGATGGCTCCCACCTAAGGTCATGTGTGATGAAGGTCATGTTAGTATTGTTAGTCATGAGTTGTATTGTTAAGCGCCTTGGGGGTAGGACTGTAAAAGGTACTGGCCATTTACCATCACCATCCAGTAGAATAACCAGTTTTAAGTAAATGCCATGTCATGTTAAACTGATGATGGTGTAAAACTTTATAACCAAGTGCATGTGTGCATTTTTACAAACTCATAAAAGACTAGCCCCATTTCCTAAATGCCAACAGCTATAGTGACTTACTTTTGTTGAAATGTCAGCCAGCATGGATACTTCTGTTAGCCAACACATCCAGCTGTTTTTGTGCATGGCTGTCTAGCTCACAGGGTGTGCAGCTTCTGAACACTGCTGCGTGCCGCAGTGCCAGGCATCTGGAAACTACAGTACTGTACTCACAGCTTCACTAGAACGCCAACTGTGTTTGTGGCCATTACGTCAAACTGGACCACATCCGTGACTCAGTACCAGAAAAATGTCAACAGCTAAACCGTCTTAAGAGGATGACAGGGAGGATTCACCAGATGATGCTTTTGACGTTCATACACAACCTGGCTCTACAGTTGTTATCGTGGTGCTGGAAGAAAATGTGTCTGTCTGGGAAGCGAATCATCAGTTAGGACAGCAGATCGAGGGTGCTTTACTGAGGCGTATGGTGAGTGGAACCTGCCACAGACTACCAGCTGAAGCCAGGAGACGAACGTTTGACGTTCATGTTTGAGGAGAAGCTGTTGGAGAAGCACACAATCTCTCTAACGCTTAGAGAAGTACGCCATCACGCCACTGTGTGCAACTTGCATTGTGAAAAAAGCACTTCATCATCAGTGAAGTGTTAGTTAAAACAATACACCGTATGATTTTAATGTTACATATTGGCCAAGCTGACTTTTTTCAAAACACAAGTGCATCAAACATCCACACATTTAGAGTGCTGGTGGCAGAAGAGTTAAACACACAGCAGAAGGTTGCAGGTTAGAGTCCCGCTCAGGTTGTCGCAGTCGTGTGCTTGGCAGACATTACGAAGGCGATAGCCTGGAAGTCTGACCATGACCCATAGACAGAGCTCAGTCATGGGGTGGAATCTATAGTTTGTGTGTGTGTGTGTGTGTGTGTGCATGCGTGCGTGTGTGTGTGAGAGTGAGAGAAAAGTATTTGTATTTTGTCCAAAAATGTTTGCGATGTAATAGTAACACAGCCATCCTTGTGTGGAGACTCCAGGTGCCAGTCCTGGCAATAGTCTGACATACATGTTGGGTAGTCAGTCCACTAAATTAGTATTAATTTAACAGTTTGTGATTTGCAAAGATTCATGTATTTCAAGCTAATGGTGTAAATTCTGTTGTCTAGGTAATTTTGAGCAACTATTAAAGTATCTGTATTATATTGCTTTCTGCAAAATCCCTAGTGAATGGACAATTCACTGAAGAACAGCAGTAGCGCAGGAGGTAGAGCGTGCGTGCCTGTGTGTGTGTGTGTGTGTGTGTGTGACCCCGGGTTTCCACAGGAGCCGTCAGCAGCACGTTACTGCAGCAGCACGTCTTGCTCGCGTAAGCTGCTGCTTGGCCCTTCTCATGAGACGCGAAGCAGCAGGGGAGCAGCTGTCACCGACAGAGCACGAAGTCACACGAGTGACTTCGTCAGTAAACACAACAACAAGCAGGAGAAAACTACAACATGGTTTGTGTTTTATGTTCTGTCCGTTTTATAATCGCCAATACGGACCTGAAAAACAAAGGAGACCGCTAGCTAGGTGATAACTTCTCACGGGGCCGCACAGTTAGAAACCTTTTTTAAAAGTAAAGCAACCGGAAGGCAGTACGTTATTTATTCTGAAAATCTCGGTAGATTCTCTCCATTTCCGCGTCCGATTTCCTGTCTTTCCTTCCCCAAAAATGTCGAACTTGACCCGTTTCAGAGGCGTCGCACGTAGAAAATAGAACCGGCGCGTAAAGGCCGCGACATGCTGCTCCTGAGACGCGGCCAACTCGCGCTGCTGACGGCTCCGGTGGAAAAGGTTCTGTTGACCACAGCGGTTCCTATCAGCAGCTATGACGTGCTGCTGCAGTAACGTGCTGCTGACGGCTCCTGTGGAAAGCCGGGGTGAGTGTGTGTGTGTGTGTGTGTGTGTGTGTGTGTGTGTGTGTGTGTGTGTGAAGTTGTCCTGATTTCCTGTCAGCACATTCGCTGGACCAGCTGGTGAAAGAAAAACACATCAGCTGATTCCATAGTGACTCCCAAGTTTTTTGTTAAGCAGTGTCCCACATTTCAATCTCTAGACTAGGTAAGTGATCCGAGAGCAGCAACAAACCCAACCAAACCCAATCTAAAGGGGTAATGAACTGGCACCAAGCAGTGAAAAAGTGGGTCAAATTCTTCTCTAGGTGAGAGAATGAGCAGATCATAAAGAGCCATTTACATCCTGGTGTACTTACTTTCTAACACACCTGTCATTCACATGAAACAGGTGGTTTTAAAAATGTGTCTTTTCCCTTTTGTCTACCTAATATCACAAGAAAACGGCTTAAAGCTAAATCAAATGTGACATATAACCAGGAAGAAAACGAGGATACTTACACTTATAAAAAACAGCTTTAAACGATATATACGGGAGCAGCTCATAGACTTTCCCCAAGATATTTGAATCACTAGAATGAGTTGCGTCTTTATTCCAAATCTGTACGACATCTTCACGATCTCGAACGCTAACACTGACGCCGACGACTTCATCATCTGGAAAAACAGAGGGCAGCAGTGTTAAGAACAGACCCATTCCCACAAACAGAACTTTCTACAGGTTTTTATCTTTTTACCTGAAGCACAGTAATCTGCAAACTGCTCACCAATCACAGCAAGCAATAACTCTTTCCACACTGTCGACTGAAGGCAGAACAAGGGCGAGTTACCGATGCAGCTTTGTTATTGTGACATAAAAAAGCTCAACAAAAAATAACACTTACACTGCTCTCTTTTGGGATTTTCATCTTCCATACGCCACCTTTTGCATTACTTTCTTCTTCCCTGTTATAAAAAACCCCAAAAAAAACACAAGTGAGAAATCAGCAGAGGGGTTACTTTGCTGTTGATATTTAGCAAAAGGACCAGAACTAGGAAAAACTTGGGATGTTGTGGGAAAATGCTAAAAATGTAAAAAGTAAATGTGTGTGTGATGAAATGGAGAGTAACACCATTCTCACCACAGAGGCCTTCGCTCCCCACGCATTAAATGATAGCTACATCTCAAAGGCAGGGCTGTGACCGGGGGGATGTTGTTATAAACACCCCAGAACATCTGCAACAGAGAACACACACGATGTACTCACAGTAGAACATCTGAATGTAGAACACTCACTTAGATTGAGACATTTTGAAATGGTTCATTTCTGCTCTGAAACTGTGTCTATCGCCCTCTGCTGGACCAAAGCTGCAATCTCACGTCTGCATTTATCTCAGGGGTCTGGAAATCTGCAGCTCTGGAGCCACAAGTGGCTCTTTGACTCGTCCACAAAGGTTCCTAATAACTTTGGCTGGAATGATTGAATCAATAACTCTTGTTTTGAAATGCAAATAAAAACAATGTAGGTTTAGGCAGCTTCATTGAAAACTGTGTTAAATTAAAACATAAGAATGATACCGTTAGTACAATTCATCTTTTCAGATCATTTCGATTTTTTCTTTTATTATTTTCCTCAAATATCAAACTCTCAAAGTAAATAAACGTTCATAATCTTTTTGTAGACTTTTTATTTTATTTTTAAAACTTAATAAAAACATAATGGTGTTAAAAAAAATCTCTTCTAGCAGATTTTAAAAAGTGCAAAAACAAAAGAGATTTCCAACTTTCAGGAAAAAAGTCAGGATTCTGACTTTAATCTCAGAATTCTTGCGCTATTCTTAGAAATCAGAGAGAAAGAATTTTTTTAAAAGTGGCCCTATTTTTATTTTATAGATATTCACTATAAAACATGAGTCTGAAAGGAAACTGGCTTTTTGGATCATAAAGGTCTCAGTTTTGTGTCACATTAACACAGTTTTATAAGGTATTCTTTTGAACAGATAAACTTATTTGTTAGAGGAAAAACATCATGGAGATTCATATAAAAGTTGAGCTTAATGTTTCATGAAATTTGAGGCCAATTTTACTGTGATAAGGAGTTCTTTATAAACTATTTACTGAAACGTTTCCTAGTCTCCCAGGTTTTTCTGGCCTCGACACATTCCTAAAACAAAAGAAAAACTTAAAAATCGTATTCACTCTAATCCACCAGCAACTCTTCCAACTTTGCTAGTTTGGCAGCATCTGCTGTCATTTCCTTTTGAGTTACAACTGTATCGTGGCTCAGGCCCTGTATTTCATCAAATGGTTCAAAGCTGACTTTCATCTCTCACATGCAGGTTGGGTCAACCTGACACAGGAAGTGTCATTATGAATATCTCTGAAGTAGGGTTGGGTGATTTGTATAATTTTTCCCATCGTCAATTGTTAGCCCATAAAAAGACAATGGACGATTTATTCGTGCTTGTGACATCATGATGCACGGACTGATTTGCGAACACAGAAGACGCCCAAAACTTATAAAACTTAACATTTATTTCAATCACAAACTAACTCATGGGCAAACTGATAAATAAACAAATCGCCAATCACCCATCGCCCAACCCTTCTCGGAACTTGACCATTATCCGATATCCCCAGACTCCTGACACCCCTGAGGACACAAGACTATCTCCTTTTAATAAAGCTATCGCTACACATCTTTGGGGGCAGATCTGTGGCCCCTCACACTCTCTATTGGACGCTCCTATAGAGAAACATTACATAAACAAGCATGTGAACGCACACAGGTGCTCACATGGTGCTCTCATAAGTATGGACTTGAGTATTTTCAACACATGTCTTAAGGCTGTGGTTGGCATTAAATGCACTGTGATTTATTATCGTGTGATTGTTCAGTAAAACAATGTTGATTTTATGTTTCCTCATCAGGTTGACGCAGTGATATCTTGCTCTAGTTGTATTGTTGTGTGTCCCTTTTTCTCTCTCTCTGCAGGTCTAGAAGGAGACTTTTGTTCATCATTGATTGTTTATTTTTTGTCGTTGTCCTCGTCGTCTTCCTCCGCTTATCCGGGTCTGGGTCGCGGGGGTAGCATCCCAACTAGGGAGCTCCAGACCGTCCTCTCCGCGGCCACCTCCACCAGCTCCTCCGGCAGGACCCCAAGGCGTTCCCGGACCAGATTGGAGATGTAACCTCTCCAACGTGTCTTGGGTCGACCCGGGGGCCTCCTGCCGGCAGAACATGCCTGAAACACCTCCCCAGGGAGGCGTCCAGGAGGCATCCTGACCAGGTGCCCAAACCACCTCAACTGACTCCTTTCGATCCGGAGGAGCAGCGGTTCTACTCCGAGTCCCTCCCGAATGTCCGAGCTCCTCACCCTATTTCTAAGGCTGAGCCTGGCCACCCTACGGTGGAAACTCATTTCGGCCGCTTGTATCCGCGATCTTGTTCTTTCAGTCATTACCCAAAGCTCATGACCATAGGTGAGGACTGGGACATAAATCGACTGGTAAATCGAGAGCCTGGCTTTCTGGCTCAGCTCCCTCTTCACCACGACAGATCAGCTCAGCATCCACATCACTGCAGACGCCGAACCAATCCGCCTGTCGATCTCCCGATCCCTCCTATCCTCACTCGCGAACAAGACCCCGAGATACTTAAACTCCTCCACTTGAGATAGGACCTCTCTCCCGACCCGGAGTTGGCAAGCCACCCTTTTCCGGTCGAGAACCATGGTCTCAGATTTGGAGGTGCTGATCCTCATCCCAGCCGCTTCACATTCGGCCGCGAACCTACCCAGCAAGAGCTGAAGGTCAGAGCTGGATGAAGCTAGGAGGACCACATCATCCGCAATAAGCAGAGACGAGATTCTCCTGCCACCAAACGCGACACACTCCACACCACGGCTGCGCCTAGAAATTCTGTCCATAAAGGTAATGAACAGAACCGGTGACAAAGGGCAGTCCTGGAGGAGTCCAACCCTCACCGGGAACAGGTCCGACTTACTACCGGCTATGCGGACCAAACTCACGCTCCTCTGGTAAAGGGAATGAATGGCCCTTAACAGAAAGCCACCCACCCCATACTCCTGGAGCGTCCCCCACAGGGTGCCCCTGGGGACACGGTCATAAGCTTTCTCCAAATCCACAAAACACATGTGGATTGGTTGGGCAAACTCCCATGCCCCCTCCATCACCCTTGCAAGGGTATAGAGCTGGTCCACAGTTCCACGGCCAGGAAGAAAACCACATTGCTCCTCCTCAACCTGAGATTCAACTATCGATTAGACCCTCCTCTCCAGTACCTTGGAGTAGACCTTTCCAGGGAGGCTGAGTGTGATTCCCCTATAGCTGGAACACACCCTCAAGTCACCCTTCTTAAAGATGGGGACCACCACCCAAGGTCTGCCACTCCACAAGAACTGCCCCCGATGACCACGCAATGTTGCAGAGACGTGTCAACCCACTCAAAGTCATTGTCCCCCACTGCCCTCGGGACGCGGTCAAAGCTCTGCCGGAGGTGGGAGTTGAAGACAGTCTTGACAGGTTCTTCTGCCAGGCGTTCCCAGCAGACCCTCACTATGCTTTTGGGTCTGCCAGGTCTATGCGGCATCTTCCCCTGCCATCTGATCCAACTCACCACCAGGTGGTGATTAGTTAACAGCTCCGCTCCTCACTTCACTCGGGTGTCCAAAACATACAGCCGCAGATCAGATGATATGACTACAAAGTCTATCATCGACCTGTGACCTAGGCTGCCCTGGTACCAAGTGTACCGATGGGAATCCTTTTGTTCGAACATGGTGTTTGTTATGGTCAAACTGTGGCTTGCACAGAAGTCCAATAACGAAACACCACTCGAGTTCAGATCAGGCGGGCCATTCCTCCCAATCACACCCCTCCAGGTCATGCTGTCATTGCCAACGTGAGCACTGAAGTCCCACAGCAGGACAATGGAGTCCCCCGATGGAGCACTATCTAGCACTCGTCCCAGGGACTCCAAAAAGGGTGGGTACTCTGAACTGATATTTGGCCCATAAGCACAAACAACAGTCAGGACCCGTTCCCTGACCCGAAGGCGCAGGGAAACTACCCTCTCGTCCCCCGGGGTAAACCCCAACAGACAGGCAGAGAGTCTTGGGGCTAACAAAAGCCAACCCCAGCCCTCCGCCTCTCACCCAGAGCAACTCCAGCAAAGGAGAGTGTCCAACCCCTCTCAAGGACTTGGGTTCCAGAGCCAATGCTATGTGTCGAGGTGAGTCCAACTAAATCTTGCCGGTACTGCTCAACCTCTTCCACAAGCTCCTGCTCCTTCCCTGCCAGCGAGGTGACGTTCCATGTCCCAAAAACCAGTTTCCTTGTCTGGGGATCGGACCGCCAAGGCTCCCGCCTCTGTCTGCCACCCGATCCACACTGCACCGGACCCTTCATGTTTCTCCTGCGGGTGGTGGGTCCACAGTTGGATGAGCCCATGTATCCGGTTCGGGCTGGGCCCAGCCGGACCCAATGGGCGAAAGCCCGGCCAACAGGCGCTCGCTCACGGGCCCCAACCCCAGGCCTGGCTCCAGGGTGGGACTCCGGTAACCCTCCGGGCCGGGTACTCCGACTCCATGAAAGATCCTCTGAACCGTTCTTTGCCTCACCCTTCACCTAAGACCAATTTGTCATGGGAGACCCTACCAGGGGCACAAAGTGCCCCAGACATCATAGCTCCTAGGATCAGTAGGGCACTCAAACTCCTCCACCACGATAAGGTGACGGTGTTCATTTTTGTGGGGGGGAAAAATAAAATAAATAAAAAATAAAGCTATCTTTTGTTTTTGGCTCAAAAATGACTTTCTAACTTTAGATGTTATTTACAATTATAGTCTGTTGTATCTAAGTGTTTAAGAATGCCTGACTGCATCACGGTAATGAATGAATCCACATACCGTATTTTCCGGACTATAAGTTGCACTTTTTTTCATAGTCTGGATGGCCCTGCGACTTATATACCAAAGTGACTTATATACCAAATTATGCATACCGCTCTGCTGCGGGCCGGCTCTGGACCAGGAATGAGCTCCCCTGCCCTGCCATCACCTGCTGGAGACCGTTGCGCGTTGCTGCGGGCCGGCTCAGGTCCAGGTTTCAGCTCCTCTGCCCCGCCGGGAGGGTTTCAAACACAACCATCACCTGCTGCAGCCTGTGGCGGGGTGCTGAGGGCGCTCTCCCTGCCCGCTGGGAGGGTTTCAAAC